CCCCAAAACCCCAAAACCCCAAAACCCCATCAAGTTATAAAGAATTGAATTAGAATCCTATCAATCCAAAAGTTTTTATAATAATAATTTTAAATTTTAAATGGATAGGTAATTATAGATTTTCAGTTATAAACGCTATAGAGACCCTAGTTAAGCCTTTATTGATAGCATTAGAGCTATGGCAAGAGCCCTAGAACAAGATGCTCAAACAGACTAATAATAAGTAAATGCTCATATAAAAGAGATTAAACTTTTAGGAGTAATTCTTCAGAATGGCAGAGAGTCGAAATTTACTACCTGAGGGCAGCCATGATAGTATAATTGAAGCATTTTTAGCTTCATTGATCTCCATAATCAGTCTGAAGAATGATCACAAATATGTAATAAGATCTGTTAAGGTTCTACTAGAGTATCTTAGAAATGGTAATTTTTTATATTAATTTTGATTCATAGATGCTTCGGTATTTGCTAAATTCAAACCATCAAAGCCACTCCTAAGGAAGATGAATATGGGCTAGCATATTTTATCATAGAGCTACTAAGAATCAGAATAAGCTTTGGAATTTTGCGCATTCTTGATGAGATATCACAGAGCTCTAGATTATGGAGATTTCTCAGATAATGCTTTTGTTGTCCAAAGACTAAGAAGATTTGAAGACTTCAAGTGTTGGAATGACATTGAAGATTCTTTAGCACTGGGAGAATAAAATGCTAAAAATTTCGAGGCATTTAAGATGACTAATGAAAATGCTCTTTAGGAAATACTTCAGCATCTTGAAAGAATAGTAAGAGACTATGCAACTAAGGATGAAGTCGGCAGAGAGTTGGACATGATGAAAGATAGAATGTTCAATGAAATGGATACACAACTTACTCAGGCTAATATGCAGAGCTCTCTTTTAAAGAATCACACTCCTCACAGAGCTGATGGCTTCGATACCGGCTAATACAAAAAGGTTTTGGAACTGATGCTAGATTTAGAGAAGAAACTAGAAGGGAGAATGGATGAGTTGCAAGGAGACTTTAGGAAAGATTTAATAAAATACCTAGACGACAGAGACTTAAAAACTGACTTGACTAATATTATTGAGGATAAGATTGACAATCTTGAGTTCAGCTTTAACACTAAAGTTCTATCAAGATTAGATCTGCTTGAGAAGGCATATGATTAGCAGATAAAGAACTACACAATATTTGAAAATAAACTAGAAGTTGAAAACTAGAAAGGCCTGAAGATAGAGGATACTCTAAGAGATTAAATAGATTTGATTCAAGCTCTAAATAATAAACTGGCTTTATAGGAGGAGACATTAAAGGAGACAAAGAATTACTTCTATGGTAAACTAACCTCAATAGAAAAAGAAATTATCTAGAAGGCCTTTGGAGAGGCGGCAAACATCAAATATGACTTCTCAGCTCATGAAGAAACCATTAAAAAGCTCGAGGATGAGATAGAAGCCTTGTAAAAAGACTTCTTCTTGTTCAAAGATCGGACTGAAAAATAAGTGTAGGAGGGTCTACAGCTCACGAAGCAAACAAGGAATGACTATATAATGCGAATGAAAGAAATGTATGATGAGAACAATAGAATGATCAAGGAGACTAAGGAAATTATAGATATGATTAAGGGAAAGCATCAAGATGCTATAGCACACCTGGATAAGAAGTAGTAGACAATCATCTAGCATATTCAGCAACTTGAAACTGATTTTAAGGTTTAGGTGGACAGAAATCTAAGAGAACTTGAAAACACAGATTTGAAACAGTAAAAAGAGATAGCTGATCTCAATGACTACTTTAAAAAGCTAAGAACTGAGGTAATTGACTTAGGAACGCACATTGGCCAAGAAATATCCAGAGTTATCAATTAAAGCAATGTCACTCTCAATGAATATGGGAAAAGATAGTAGGACATTGAAAATACACTCAGACGATAGATCGATGATATGATACAGAAATTCGGACTTTACTCTAAAGATTTCACTAACATTGGTGAGAACTTCGCTAGACTGAATGATGGACAGAACAAACTAGCTATTGCTTTAAATTCTCATGATACCGAAATAGCTAGACTTAGAAATGATATCATTGGCAATCTAGACTCAGTCAGAAAAATGGAAGATTTCCTTAACAATAATTCAAAGCTTAATTCATTAGTTGAAGAGGCAAACAAACTGTGGACCTTCTTCCAGAAGTTCATTGATGAGCATTCAGTTGATAGAATCAAGATCATTAGATCCAGAGATAACTCTCTCACAGATAAAATCAACGCTATGGACTGGCTTGCGAGATATGCTGAATTTGTCACACCTGATTAGATATCGAACGTGGTCATGGCATTTAAGGATATATACTCAGGCCCAGATGTTGGTCTAAGAGATGGCTTCATCAATCACAAGCATAACTCTGAAGCGATTCCTACTGTAGTTTAGATGCTAAGAAATCTTAGATCAAAGAGGAACACAATTGCTCTTGACGAAGAAACATTCGATCAGAATATGAGTATTCTGCTAAGTATACTTGAACCTCTACTAATAAATGACTAGAATCTAGAGACATTCTTTAAGCTATCAGTAGTCTAAGATCTGTGTCAGCTTTTGCATGAGTAACCACTTCCTAGTGAGAACTAAGGTGCAGGAGCCAAAGTATTTAGACAGCATTTCAAATATGCCATAAGATGCATCACCTCATGCCTTAGAAATGAAATAGGAGTATAAGAGGTTATGAAGAATGACACCTATTTCAAGAGAGTCTTAAGAATCCTAGAGGAATTTCAAGAGGAGGAGATCGTAGCAAATTCAAGTAAAATTGTGAGACTAGTACTGAGAGATGAGGTGTACTATGACAGAGTAGTGATGGCCTATTCATAAATCGGTAATTTCTTGTTACAGTTGATGAATCAGCACTTCTACAGCGCAGCTATCATTTAAGAGACAACAGCCGCATTCAGAAATTACACTAGAAAGCCAAATTACTTGAATACCATCAATAGTGATTTATTGAAGGTACTTGTCAACGTCGTAAGAGAACCCAAGTTTGACAAGCAAAAGTTCGTCACACTCTAAGCTATAAAGAACCTAAGCAGGTCAGCAGAGCATGAAAGATATTTCAAGCAGATAGGAGCAAACGATGTTCTGGTTATGTCAAATATGTCAAATCAAGTTGGAAATTAAGTGATTGGAAACTCTTTGTCAAGAAAGGTATGATGCTAATAGATTGATAGAATAATGACATAAATTTAATCTTAATTTCATAACTCTAAATTTCAAATGGCGCAAGGGCAAATTATAACATTGATAACTGATTTATGCCGAGTCATTTTAGCTTTTTAATTTCATGTTCTATCTACCTAAGTTTAGTCTCTTTCTGAATCATCAATGCCTAAGGTATTGGAAAAAATATTATAAATACATCTAGTTTGTCAATAGTGGAAAATGTCTCGTCCAAGCCCTCAAAGATCTTTAAAAGCTTATCTTCATATTAGGATCTTATCAGCTAATTCTCATTTGTTACCTGTTATTTCATCATATTAAATTTGTATTAGATTACATTATCATTCATCTGCTAAGAATCTTTGAATAACTTATCCTGCTAGTCAATTTATAAACTCACTTTAGCTACCTATAGAACATTATGATTAGTTTAATAGATGATTTATTACAATGTCCTTTCGTTCATTAATTAGTTATTCCATTTTAATTTTAGACTTTTGTCTTTGTAAAATCTTATGGGGTTTTGGGGTTTTGGGGTTTTGGGG